AATTATTATCTTTATAAAATGTTATATTATTAAACCATAAATAAATTATTTCATTATTAAACTTAAATTAAATTATAATAAAAAAATAAATTGAAGAAATTACATAAAAAATGAGAACTTTTAAACAGTTGATTTGATATTAACACTGATATATTTTTTTTCAAATTTTTATGATATCTTCAAATTTATATTTTATTCAAAAATAAAATCATTGTTTTTTTTCTTAAAAACACATGAAATCGTAATATAACATCGACAAAGGCAAATAATAAAATAGAACATTAAAATCGAGATGTGTCTCGTTGCATTGCGCGAGTACTCTTCTAGTATATATATATATATATAGAGAGAGAGAGAGAGAGAGAGAACGCTTAGTTCAAATGTTAATTCAAATTTTTGTGTTAACTTTATGAACCTTAAACCGATCATAATTTATCTTAGTATTATGTTCTACTCTATTTAAGAATTTAATGTTAAGGGTATATGAGTAATTTTTTTTGTAACTCCTATATCATTAACTGAGAGTTACAATATCCGTAAAATTCCATAATTTTTGCATTTTTAATATTAACGTGATTTTTTCATTTTTTTAATATTGATCTTTCATTTTTAATATTTTTAAATTTATGATTGGTGGAGGAGATCCGCTAGTAAAATGTTTGTTATTGTTTTAAGCAATTATAGATAAAGACATTGGAAACCAAAACGACAACAATGAGAAGTATAAAATTGTTTATGGTGACAACCAGAGTCAGAGATCGGGAAGTGAAGTAAATAATCAAAGCGAGTGTCTTGATAATTATGAACACAAATTGACACGTATACACCCATATGGACACAAATTGACATATATGAACATGTGTGATAATTATGAACACAAATTGAACATATATGTGAACACTTGTGCAATTATGAACACAAATTGAACATATATGAACACTTGTGACAATTATGAATACCAATTGAACATATATGAACATTTGTGGCAATTTTGAACACAATTGAACATATACGATTTCTAGCGTTTGTAACCGATGATATTGATTGCACCTCCTCTTTTACATAAATACCCTTGAGCTACTATGTTCACATATGTTTGTGAGATTATAAGGGTAATAAATTAAATTTATAATATGATTAATCTCAACCTTATATATTAAAAATCAATGGTCATGATTAGTTCATAAAGTTAACACAATAATTTGGGTTAACAAATGAACTTGTTCCTATATAGATATAGGGTTAGGTTTACATGCAGGGCCGGTCCTGAGATTTTTGGTGCCCACGACGAAAAGTCTAAATGATACCCAATTAAAAACATCCAAATGTGGTAATTTACAATTGTCTAGCTTTTTCCTTCATAGATCGAGAGATCCATTAGTGTTTTTTGTTCATAAGTGTGATCTTATAGTTGAGTGTTTGCTTTAAAATAATATGTCGAGGTTTCTTTAATCAAGTTGTTATAGCCTTTGCGTTTAAACACCAACTCATCTACTTATCCAAAACGAAAATATGGAGCATCATAACAATAACTCATCTACTTGTCCCATTTACTACATCCCACGTCTTCTATATAAACCAAAGTCAACACTCGTAGCTTCTCAATCCAACTCCAAACACTTGATTGGTTGATTCTTCTTCAATTATTTACACTCTTCATATGTAAAATTGAAAAGTTAAGGGAGAACAGTCACGTGAATTAGCTACTGCACATTCAACTATATTATAGTAGGGAAGAATGTGGTAGAATATAATCAAATGGGAGAGAACATGAAGAACAAAAAGAAAAGAATGGGGAAGAACCGGCTATCAATTCCAACATAATTCTCATAACAGAATGTCTCCTTCCAAACTAAGTGACAATAACAACCGTCCAACCCATTTTGCTCAAAAGTTCAAACATCAGTTGCAGCAATTACCCTTCTAATAATCTTGACTGCCACTATCTCCTATTGATATCTGGTTTTGTCTTTTCATAAATAAAAACACATGCTTTGGTTGATCAATTAATTGCAAAATAGTTGTCACCTATTGACCTTGGGATTTCTTACCTCACACTAACCCTAGCAATTAGTTTCTTATCAAGAAAAATAACACAAAAAATCATTTGAAAATTGCCCTCTTCTCAACCCCACTGCCCCTATCAATTAGGTTCTAATCAAGGTAAAAAAGCAAAAAAGAGTAAACATAAGCATCTGTAAAACAGTAAAACAGCCCTAACCCCTAAGTTAAAGTGTTAAACATAAGATTAAGCATCTTTAAAACATTAACAAATGGTTGTCAATAAATCCCTAACCCTAACCTCAATGTTAAGCAACCTGGACAAATGGTTGTCAATAAATCCNTAACCCTAACCTCAATGTTAAGCAACCTGGACAAATGGTT